TGAGGTATCTCCATACTGATTTCCACAGTGGTTGCACCAGTCTGCACTCCCACCAGCAATGGAGAAGGATTCCTTTCTCTCCACACCCCCGCCAGCATTTGTTATTGGTTGATTTCTTGATAGCAGCCATTCTTTGTGGGGTGAGGTGGAATCAGTGTTGTTTTCATCAGCATCTCTTGAATGACCAGTGATGTTGAACATTTTTTCATATATTTATTTGCTGTCTTTACTTCTTTGTCTGAGAAATGTTTGTTCATTTTGAATGCCCATTTTTGAATTGGGTCTTTGAATTTGGGAGGTCTGATATTTTTCAATTCTTTATATATTCTAGATAGTAGACCTTTGTCTGAGGTACAGCTGCTAAAAATTTCTTCCCATATTGTAGGTTGCATCTTTACCTTTTTATTGGAAATATGTGCCTGCTTTATGGTGTAAGTTTAAGCTAGTTATTTGTTCAGAGTTTTGAACAATACAGTGGAGGCCTAGTGTTCCTTGTGAAGTGAATAGTAATTTTTTTTTTGTTCTGGGGATCGAATTCAGGACCTTGCGCTTTTGAGGCAGGTGCAGTGCCGCTGAGCTAAATCCCCGGTACAAAGTGAATAGTAATTTTGAGTACCAGTGTTTTCTTTCCACAGATAAGGATCTGTACTGTATTTTGTCTCTACCTAGGTATTCGTCTCTTTCTAGACTCTTGATCATTTCTAAACCACAAGGCAGGACTAGTTCAGATCTGTACTGTGCAAAAATAAACCTCAGGTAAGCAGCAGCTGGTAAAATCCTTTAGAGTTCAAGAAACAGAATCGTATATCCTGAAGTCTGTTTCCTTTTTTTTTTTTTCTTTTTCTTTTTTCTTTTTTTGGAGATAAGGTCTCACTATGTAGTTCTGGCTGGCCTTGAACTCACTATGTAGCCCAGGCTGGCCTTGAGCTCACAGTGATACTTCTGCCTCAGCCCCCTGAGCACTAGGATCACATGCACTACCACTCCTGGCTTTGAAGTCTGTTTTTTTTTTTTGGTACCAGGGATTGAACTCGGGTCTTTGTGCTTGCAAGGCAGGAGGTGGAACCACTGAGCTAAATCCCTGGCCCTGGAGTGTGTTTCTTGAAGAGAAAAGGGAATGTGGTACTGGAATGGGAAGAAAAATATAAATCAGATTCTTATGTGTCAATATCCTCTCCTCAGCTCTGACATGATGGCGTCTGATGACTTTGATATAGTAATTGAGGCCATGCTGGAAGCTCCCTATAAAAAAGAGGAGGTAATATTCCCCAGCTCACCCCGGAATTGGGTTAATAAGAAAGCTCAGTTGTGGACCCACAATTTGAACATTTGTGAATCCTCTCCCTGCTTGTTTGTTGGGTCCAATGACTGTTTGTAAAAGGTATAGTCTTACTAAGGTTGGCTGGGGGTACCTGTACTCAAGGACTGTGCTTTTAGAGAGGGCCCTGCAATCCTGGGGTGGGCATGGCATGTGCTTTGTGGATAACTGAGTGACAATAAACAGTCCCTGTACCTCAGACTTAGGCCAAGTTTCTAACTCCTGGGAAATAATGTCAGTGGAAAAAATGTTGGGTAGCTGACCTTTGACATTAAAATCTGTCATTTTGATCACTTCCTTTTGGAAGCACTTCCTTTCTTCCTCTGTTATTCCCTTTGTTAGGAGATCTGGGTGCTCAAAAACTGGCTAGCTAATTGAGAGTATTGATTTCTTCTTGTCCACTTTTGTTCTTTTTGCCCAATGGAATCTGTGTCTGCTACCTTGTACCTTGTGACATTTTCCTGGGAAACTCCTCAGGATGAGCAGCAAAGGAAAGAGGTTAAAAAGGACAGTCCTAGCAGTGCCACTAGCAGCACCAGCCACAGTGGTAGTGGTACCAGCAGGAGCAACACCACCCGGGACACAAGCAAGTGAGTATGGAGTGAAGATGTGGGTTGGCAACTTGGGCAAGGGAAACAGCTGCATCCATTGGAGAAGCAGCCAGAACAGGAGGTGGTTGCTCTCAAGATGGCTGACTTTTAGTGATGGCTCCACTGAGTCATGGGAATAATGGTGGCTTGGTTTAATGATCTTCTAGCCTTTGCTTTCTGGTGTAGATTTGTGGTTCATTTCTAGCATTGACATACTTCATCTGAGTATAGTAAGAGAACTTTGGGCTGGAAACACTAGCTTTTACGGCCTTGAGGGAAGGAGGGGCATGGCCATTTGAGAGCCTGACAGGGGCTGTGTTTCAGTTAATACTGTGCAGCCAAAGTGAACCAGTGCCAGATCATATTCTGGGATTTGAGCTTCTGATGCATCCTATTTTAGCTTTGTCCTATTCTCATTCCTTTTCCTTGGGAGAGAGTGAAATCTCAGTTTCATTCTTTCATAGGAAGAAGAGGAGTCGGAGCCACAGTAGAAGCAGGGATAGAAAGTACAGGTCAGTAATTATGGGGGCTGTTAGGTTTGGGGAATTATTAAAATGGGAAGATACTGCAGAAGGCTGTGTGTTAAAGGCCACAAGAAGTTTTTTCTATCCATAGTCATAGTCGAGACCGAGACCGACATTGTGAGAGAAGGAGCGGGAGCCGAAGTGGTGATCGGCAGCAGCGACCCTGCAGCCAAAGCTGGGACCGTCCACATAGTAGTGAGTCACGAAGTCAAGACTGGCGGCGTGAGGATTATGTGCCCTATAGGCGTCTTCCACTTGCCACTGGGTATCACCTTTTGCTAATAATATCACTCTTGTATCTTAATCTGGTAGAACAAAATGTGTACTATGGATCCTGCCTGAGGGTACTGTGATAGGTAGGGTATTGGGTCAGTGGAGGGGTGGTACGGGTTGAGTAACCTGTATCTGAAATGCTTGGGACCAGACATGTTTGGGGCTGGTGGTTCTTCTTCTCTTTTGGAATTTTTGCATATATATAATGAGATACCTTGGGGGTGGGACTCAAGTCTTAAGTACAGAGTTCTGTTTATGTTGCATGTTTACCTAACACACATAGCTTGAGGGTAATTTTATATGTTGTTAGTGTGCCTTTGTTTTTGTTTAGTTCTTTGAGACAGGGTCTTGCTGTGTGGTCCAGGCTGGCCTCAAACTCATGGCAATCCTCCTGCCTCAGCCTCCTGAGTGTTGGGATTATAGCCATGTGCCATCAGGCCTGGCAGTTTGCTTTTTTTCTGACTGCAACTGCAGTTTTGGTATTTTCTACTTGTGGGTCATGTTGACACACAGCACAGTTTTGGATTTTATAGCATTTCAGATTAGGGATCCTCAGCCTGTGCTAAGAGTTTACTTGTGAGAAACAACAGACCAGTGTGAATACAGTTTTCCTTTTGCTTTTCTCTGTTCCTTAGGTGGAGGTATGGGCCCAGTAAGAGTCCTCATTTCAGAGAGAGGAGCCCGGTCAGGTGAGTTGATGTGAGCACTGGTTTAGGGATTATGAAGTATGAGTGAAAGCTTGGCTGAACCAGACTGCAGCAGGCATATATGTTACTTGGGTGTTAGCTAGAAAACAGTGACTGAGTCTTAAGAGGGGCAGTATCACCACATTTTACTCTTTTTTTTAAAATTTTTTATTTTTTATTAAATTCTTTTATTGGTACATTGTAGGTATACAACACAATTACATTTCTCAGTGGGAATTGTACCTTTACATAATGC